CCTAGCTTTTTGAGAAATCTACATACTGACCTCCATAGTGGTTGCATAGTCTGCTCTCCCACGAAAAGTGCAGAAGAGTTCCTTTTCCCCACAGCCTCTCCAGCATTTGTTGCTGGTAGTTTTCTTGATCCTGGCCATTCTTTCTGAAGTAAGATGGAATCTCAGTGTTGTTTTAATTTGCATTTCTCCAATGACCAATGATGCTGAACATTTTTTCCTGTGTTTATTTGCCATTTATATTTCTTGATCTGAGAACTGAATATTCATGTCAGGTGCCCATTTTTGGGATGGGTCTTTGAATTTGGGGGATCTGAATTTTTAAAAATTCCTTATATGTTCTAGACAGAAGTCCTTTATCTAAGGGACTGTTCACTAAGATTTTTTCCCCAATTTGTGGGTTTTCTTTTCACTATGCTGGAGATTTCTTTTGACATGCTATTGAGAATTTTTGTATCTATGTTTATTAGGAAGATTGGCCTGTAGTTCTCTTTTTTGGTTGGATCTTTCTCAGGTTTTGGTATTACAGTACTATTTGCTTCCAGGAATGAGTTAGGGAGAAATGCTTCCCTTTCAATTTCACTAAAGAGTTTGAGGAGTGTCGCCATTAAGTCTTCTCTGAATTTCTTGTGGAATTCCACAGTGAATCCATCTGGGCCTGGGCTCTTCTTTGTTGGTAAGGATTTAATTACATTTTCAATTTCATTAATAGAAATTAGATTATTCAGCAGTTTTACATCTTCTTGATCCAGCTTTCATAATTTATATGTTTCTAGGAATCTGTCCATTTCTTCTGTGGTATCAAGCCTATGAGAGTAGATGTTTTGAAATAGGTATTGATGATCTTCTGTATTTCCACAGAGTCTGTAGTGATTTCACCCTTCTAGTTCCTTATTACATGAATTTGAGGTTTTCCTTTCTTTTTTTTAAATAAGGTTGGCTAGGGACTTATCAATTTTATTTATTCTTTAAAAGAACCAACTCTTTAAATCACTGATTCTTTGTATTGTTTTTTTAGTCAGTTGCATTGATTTCTGCTCTAATCATTATAATTTCCTCACTTCTTTTGGCTTTGGGCTTGACTTGCTCTTTTTCTAGACATTTGAGGTGTAGCATCAGGTTGCTTATTTGTGTTCATTCTATTTTCTGATGTGGAAATTCACCACAGTAAATTTTCTTCTAAGGATTGCTTTCATTGCGTCCTATAGATTCTGGTAAGATGTATTTGTATTTTTTTCTTGTAGATATTGTTTAATTTCTTCTTTAATTTCCTCTGTGACCCACTAATTGCTCAGGAGTGTATTACTCAATTTCCATGTGTTTGTGGGGGCTTTGCACTTTCTTTTGTCATTAATTTCTAGTTTCATGGTACTGTGATCCAATAACATGCATGGGATAATTTCAATCCTTTTGCATTACTTATGCATGTTCTGTAGGCTATTATATAGTTTGTTTTAAAAGAACATTCCATGTGCTGCTGAGAAGAATGAATATTCTAATCTGGATAGAACATTCTGTATATGTCCACCAAGTCCATTCATTTGCAGGTGTGATTCAGTTCTGTTATTTTTTTACTGATTTTCTGTCTAGTTGATCTGTCCCTTTGTGTGAATGGTGTGTTAAGGTCTCTTGTTATAATTGTGTTGTTGCTTATTTGATTTTTCATTTCTGTTAATATTTGTTTTGTATAGCTGAATTTTGCATATTTTGTATAGCTCCTGAATTTGGTGCATATATATTTAAGACTGTTATCACGTCCTTTTGAAGTTTTCCCCTAACTAGTATGTAGTGGCCTTCTTTTTCTCTTTGGATCATTCTTGGTTTGAAGTTTGCATTGTCTGCAAACAGAATATCTACCCTGCTTTTTAGGGAGATCCTGTTGCATGGAGTATTGTTTTCCATCTTTTGACTTTCAGTCTGAGTTATCTTTTGGGTTAGATGGGTTTCCTGTATACAGCCTATGGTTGGATGTTGTTTCTTGATCCATTCTGCCAATCTGTTTCTTTTAATTGGTGAATTGAGGCCATTTATATTAATGGTTATAATTGATATATATTGATTTATTTTTAACATGTTATCTTTCTGCTGTTTATTCTTTACCTTTCCACTCTGTTTAAATGTTTGCCTTGCTTAGTGGTTTTTCCCTATGTCTATCTAGAATGTCTTTCAGTATTCTTTGCAGGGTTGGTTTGGTGGTCATGAAGTTCTTCAGCTGTTGTCATAGAAGTATCTTATTTCTCCATCCATTTTGAAGGATAGTTTTTCGAGGTACATCATTCTGGGTTAGAAGTCATTTTCCTTTAGGATCTGAAATACTTCACTCCGTGCTCTTCTTGACTTCATGTTTGTGTTGAGAAGTCTGCTGTGATTCTGATAGGCTTTCTTTTATAGGTGATCACTCTCTTCTCTCTAGCAGCTTTTAATATTCTGTTCTTATGTTAGATTTGTGGGGTGCTGATTATTATATGTCTGGATGTAGTTTTATTTTGGTTATGGTTATTTGGAGTTCTGTGTGCTTCACTGATCTGTATATCAGTTTCCATTCTCATGTTTGGGAAATTTCCAGCTATTACTTCTATAATAACCTCTTGATATCATTTGTGTTGTCACCTTCTTTTTCTTTTATACCTATCAATCTTATGTTGTTTTTCTTTGCATCATCTTGTAGCTGTTAAATTGTTATTTCCTGATTCCTTGTTATTAAGATCTTTCCTGTTCTCTAGCAGCAGTCTTGTCTTTTAGGTCTGAAATTCTATCTTCACTTTTGTTGAGGCGATTTTGCCAACTTTCGATGGAATATTTGGTTTCATGTATATCTCTTTGAATCTGCTTCATGCATTCTGTTTGTTTCTTATATTGTTCATTCAGGGTTTCCATCTTTTTGCATTGTTCCTATAATTTTTTAACTATGTCCTTCTTTAGATGTGTTCAGCATTTCTTTCATTACATTTATCATTTCTTCTTTTACCTGGGAGATTATTTCTGATCTGAGTTCTTTTATAGCTCCCTGAAGTTGTTTCTTTATTACAATTGTTATCATTTCAGGAATTTCAGGTATATGGCTCACATTTTCTTCTGTATCCATGTCTCCTAGGCTTGCTTGGATTGGGTTAGATGTTTGAGATTGCATTTTGCCCTTTTATTTTGTCATTTTCCTATATTTCCTAGTTTTGAGCAATGTTCCAAAGCTTCCCCCATGCTTTGGGAATTACCTGGCCCACTTTTGGTTCCCGGGGCAGACTGCAGACAACTGCTAGCTGCTTGGAGGTCACTGGGCATGGACCAGTTAGGCCCACTGAGACCTCCTGTGCATCCTCTGGTGATTTGGCATACTGGATGTGGTCTTACAGGCTGGGAGCAAGGTTCCAAAGCTTCCCCATGGATTGGTATTCACCTCATGCACGTTCGGCTAAACACATTCTTAAATTGAAACTAATTTATTTGTAGTTGTATAATCTGAGGGTATAGATTTTGAAAGTGCTTGGTTTTTGTTTTTGTAGTTCCTTTTTATTTCTAATTAAAGTAACTTTCCAATTGGATGAGAAGTTTAAAATCAATATTTAGTTTAGACCAATTTTATGGCAATATGATTACAGTAGTGAGAATACACATGTAAGATATTGTTAGTTCCTAGTCTAGTAAAGTCTGTGAAGTGGGCATTTCATTCTTTGTCCTATATACTTTGTACTATATACTTAAATTCTTACAAGAATCTGTACTACTTAAATATTTTCCAGTATGTTTTATTCATATTGTTTTAATTTGTAATGCAAAGATGATGTTAATGGAAAAAATATCTCTCCAACAGAATTACTATAAAGACTTAATACACTGGAGATGAAACCTGCTTCATTTGCTCTATATTTCCCCCCCCCCCCGAAAGATGTCATTTCTATTTTGTTAGACTGTTGAAGTTAAAATTCAAACTTTATTCATCTTTTGTCAGTGGTAAGCAGATAATCACTCAATATTAGTCAGTTGAATGAACATAATATGTTACTTCATACCTCAATAGCTAATAATAGATATTGAAATAATTTTTTAATGAAATGAAAACTGATTTTTAAAATGTTTATAGTACTTCATTTTTAATATAGTCATCTAACGTAACAAAAATGAATTGTGTTGATCTTATTTAATCCTTTATTATACCTTAGTTAAATGCTTATAAAAGATAGAAACTAACACTTAATACTAGGACTTTGGCTAGTTATTATCAATAGACATTGTAATTCTCACCTTTAATAAGTCCTGTGCAATGTCTTAAACTAATTCACTTGTTAGTTTACTGATAGTCAGAGATTGAAAAATAAATGAAACTGACACCATTGTTCACTTTTAACATGAGAATAAGTTTGAGCTAGTGTGTTACAGGTTAGGTGCAATGTATTATATCCTTAAAGGCTACTTATTACCAAAACAATGCAATAGAAAACATTAAGAACAAAAAGATAAATCCACAGGTAAGAGGATAGTTCTCAGGATTAGCACTCAGTGTTGTCATCGTAAAGGAAAGAGTCATGGAAACTTTTTTCTCTTGAGACAGTTCATGGTAATTGAATAAATAGCAGGATACATCATAGTATGAAGCCAGATCAAAGAAATTCAGACAGATTGTTTTCTTTTGAGAAAATAAGGAAGATAATAAGGTGAAAATAATTCCTTTTGTAGGTTTTATAATATTTATTTATAAAACTTGATGACCTTAAGTTAGAAATAAAATTATAATTAAAAAATTAAGCACAGTTTCTGAGCTGAGAGAAAGATCCGGCTGCATCTTAAACTATTGCCTGAACACCACTTGAATGAGAAGATTGGCTTAGCTAACCTTAAGTCAGATAAAATAGCTAAATTAGCCAACCTCTTCTCACCAGAAAATTCTTTGTGCAACTTGAAAGGATACTGCATGTAAACTATATGAGTCATATCTCACTGACATAAAAGTTATCAAAATAAAGGTATTAGGCCTAATAACCAAGTGTTCATAATTTTTCTTTCCATAGGGAATATCAGCATAGAAAGAAGGCCTTATAACCATCAGGTGAATTCAGCACCATTGGTAAGCCAATCTCTTTCTGCACTGTCAAAAGTTGATAAGAAACTATAAAATTACGCTCATTACAGGGATACATAGGCATCTACAGGGATGACACTGTAGAAAACTAGAATACCTTCCTTTTGTCAAAAGTTATATCCCTGCAAGAAAATTAACCTCGTGTTTTCTACTTAATGAAGAAAACTTTACAGTATTTGCCAAAATGTAGTAATATGCTGTTTTTTTATGTACTTGTTTGAATTCTTAACTTAAAATAGTTCGTTTTGATAAAATAATGTAAACCTTTATGCAAATTGATGTACATATGCTTTTATTAAAAATGAATGTTATTTTGTACAGTAGTATTATTATAAAGACTTATAATAGGGAAAGAACAATATAATGTTTTATTTTTCTTACAGGTTTCTTTGCTTTAACATTATAGAATAAAAATTTACCATTTAGTTTTCTTTTACTATCAGACAGCAAAAGGCATTTAATTAAAATATTGTTTGCTATGTTTAAAAAACATACATTATAAAAGGAAAAGAATTTGATCTTTTAGTGTCTGAACATATTTTTATGAAATATGTATCAATTGCTTAGTTGCCTAATATAAAGATGCATAAGGTGAGGTAAACCACATTGCATCTTAATTTTCATTCAATGTAATGTCATTTATTATCTCTTCTATACAAGTCTTCAAGTACTTCATATAGTTTACCATTTCCTAATGTGAAAAAATTTGATAATATCTTTTATAAGAAAAAAATGACAATAAGCTATATTTGCATTTCATTCATGATTAATAATCGCCTCACTAGAAAATTGACTCCATTTTCTATCTATAATAAATCTACATGACTAGCTAATTTCATGTTAATAATTTATATGTGATTGTGCAGAAAAAACTAGTGTATGAGGAGTTAGTCATTAGTGTAGTCATAAGAAGTACTTGGCTATAGTGTGTTTTTCATTTAACCTTTAGTCAGAATCCTCAGAGTAACCATTACATAAATTTTATTATTTAGGGCCAGGTGTATAGTTCAGCGACACAGCACCTGTGTGACAAGTGCAAGATCATGAATTCAAACCCCGGAATCAAAACAAAACAAGGATTAGAGTATATGACTTGGAATTTATGTGACCTAGAAAAGTAATTAATTTCTGGTTAGGTCTGGAAAAACATTTTGTTCTTTAATATTAAGAATTAAAAATTAGCAGTTAGGGAAATTTAATAATGTATTTTAGAAATATAATCAGGTAAATTATTGTACTTGTTTTTGAAATTTGTTTCATTCCCACAGGCTTTCCTGTGGTACCTGTGTTTACATTCTGTTTGGTTTATACTTCCTGAAACTCAGAAAAATACAATCAGGCATAATTTCCTTACCCTCGAAGTTAATTGCAGATCATTTCATGCTAATTAAATGATGAAGGATGAGAGCACAAATTTTGGATTTATAATTTTTATATTGTAAACTAGTGCACGTGAATTTATGAGAAATGATGTTTTTGTTATTTACAGTGATCCCTTAATGATATCGCTTAATGATATCAAAAGAATTCCTTGAATTAGGAACTAAAACTAATGCATAGTAGTTTAGGTACTGCTTGTGTTTTGGTGAGGCTTTTCTGGGTAAGTTATAAAATGATAGCTTTTAGTGTATTAGTATCATATCTACTCTGAAAAACCAGTAACTTTTCAGGTATTTTGATGTCTACATACACTCTCCAGGTAGCCTTTGGTTACCCAGGCTTTTACATGAGCTCACCTTCCTGTTGATACATTTTTCTGGGGAAGGACTAAGCTACTCTTCCTTACGTCGCTTTGCTGCAAACAATTTCTGTCAATAAAGACTTATGCAGAAGAAAATGTTTAGAATAAGGGAAAGAGGAATAAGCTTGTATAAAAATTTAACAAGATAATAATTTTAAATCCAAAATTTGTGCTTTCCTACCGTGAAAAGGAGGAATATAATACATTTAAATTACTCTAGGACCTGGGATCTGAGAGCAAATAGTGTGTGTTAAGATTTTAGAATGACTCTTAATCCTTTACCTACCCCTTGTTTCCAGCTTTTGATTTACCCTATTGCACCTCTCTCTTATTCCAAGCGCTGAGTGACTCGTCTAGGAGTGCTACGTAAACTCTAGTTGCAGCTCTTTCCCTAGATGAGGGAAATGAGTAGTGGAAAATTTCTTAAGCCTCTGTTCAAGGAAATGATGTGTTCTTGATAGTCTAAGTCGAAATCCTGAGTGAACTTTTCTGTAAACATGTGGTTATAGGGGATAGTTTGATCCTATAGCACTGTAATATAATGCAGTGTCACTTAAGTAAATATAGATTAGCCCAAGAACAAAACCACCTGTCCCTTCGTTATATATTCTTTCTCACTCTGTTTAATACACTCATTTCATTTTTGATTTTTCATTTATTACATGAGTTTTGTTTTTTGTTGTATATTTGTTGTGTTTTTTCTTTCTGATACAAATAGTATCCAATTTTTGAGATGCCTTTAATAGAAAGTGAAAAAAAAAAAATCTCCACATGGCATGTCCCTCCTCCATCAAAAAGAATTGAAGAGTACATTTTCAAGTTATTTCTTCCAAAAAATATAAATTGGATGTTGAATTATCTAAGCATACATATATTTCTAAGTTGTCACTGCATGCAGCACTTCTTTTATTATTTTGATACAAGCTTGTAACTAAAAACATTATGGAAGCTGGTCATCTTTATCTTCTGGGATTAGTGTTGTGTAAGAGATACTGCACATTAGCCTGATGTTTATTCTTTCATAGAAGCAACCTGTTTGACTGCTCATATACTATATGATACATTTTATTTTCATTGCACCTAATGTCCTAGTTCAGATTTGATGGATAATTGTCATTTTCTTCCTAAATAATATTCACTCAAGCACTGTAATTTTATAGGAAAAAAAGGCATAAGGCGATCAAAATGTTAGATTATATGAAAAGAATTAGATCATGCTTTTTTTTTTTTTTTTTTTTTTTGGTCAACTCACGACTGCCTGCTTGCAAGGCAGGCGCTTATGCCGCTGAGCTAAACCTCCACCCCAGATCAGGCCTTTTAAAGAACTAGTTCCTGCACTTGCTTATAGCTTATGGTAAATTAAGAATATTATCAGACCAGATTAATCAGAGGTCATTGTCTGAGCTCTTAAAGTCAGGGTTAAAAGTCAATAGTTAAGTCAGCCCAGGCTTAAATCCTGTATTTAAATGAAGGACTTATTTGCAAATCAGTGATAAATAGCAACTAGCATTAAATATTGTTAATACATGCTTAGTGGATTTTAAAGCTTTTTATGTTTTCTGACAGAATTAGTATGCATGTAAAATACATTAAAATATAATAAGCCATGCTGAATATAAAAGGTGTGATTGAAAAATACAGTGAATGTTTAAATTCTCTTTTAGTTTGTTAGAGCAAATGATAATGATACCCTACTATTAATCCCCCTCCAGTACTACCCTTTGCTTCATACATGCCTGTCTCACCATTGTTGCCACTTTGCGAAGCAGCTCTGGAAGTCCTCTTTCATATATTCAAGAAGTATGACTTAAATATGATGGATCTTGCTGCTGCTTCTGCATTCGTCCAACAGAAAGGCAGGCTCCTCAGATCGTTACAGTGTGTCCTCCTCCACTTATTCACCACTCTAGCAGTGTGTGATTTCTAGCTCTTCCCCAAAAGTAAAGTGACCGTGAAAGGTAAACATTTTGAACAGATTCAAAACATCAAGGCAGAACACAGTAGTGCAACTAAGACACTCATGATAAGGTATTTACAGAACTGCTTCAGAAGCTAGTAAGACCAATGGAATAAAGATGTTCAAAGGAAGGATTAATGGCAATGTGTCATTCACTTATTGTAATAAGTTTTTTTTAATTTTAGCACACACCACATTTTTATCACACTTTGTATTAAAAAATTTTTTAGTAAAAATTTTAGTAAAAAAATTTTTAGTGATTTGAAGAGTATGGATATATAAAATTCTAATATCAGTATATCCTGTCTTAATTAATCACTTAACTTTTTGTGGAAGTTTCTACATTTCAAACCTGTAATAGTTAATATTACTCCATTATAATATGCAGTATGATCCTGCAGTGTGTTTGTTGAACTAGATTTCCACTTCCAAATCCAACAAATGGATTTTGGCAGTTTATAAAATCATAGTTTGCACTTTCCCAGAATCCTGTAGATCTGCTAAAACAAGTTCAAGTAAAACCCAGATTATCTCATCAGGATTATACCAATCATGTAATTTATCTCTTTATTCATTTAATTATCAAGTTTTAAAATATACTCAGTTGATACGAGTTTTATATGTTGAGCCTCTGTTACCCATTGCTAGGTATATATGCCATTCATTCATGCTGCAGTTAACACTCCTAAGTTTTATAAGGACTACTTGGTAAATCTTTGTCACATAATTTATCAGTAGAAAGCTTTTAAAATGTTGTAGATTCACTTTGTTATTCTGAAATATTTCTGAGATGTTTATGATGTTGCTTGCCCTTACCCTTAAAGTTATTCATAAGGGGCTAGGGATTTAGCTCAGTGGTGTAAGTGCCTGCTTAGCAAACACGAGGTCATGAGTTCAATCCCCAGCACCAAAAAATTTAAAAAATAAAGTTATTCATAAATGTTCTGATCTGAACCATACAAATTAAATTTTATTTTGTGTGTCTTTTGAAGTACAAGATACCTATATTTATTTTGCAATATTTTAAGCTGTTGTTGTTAGGTTGTCATCATTACTTAACTCTTTCTTGAGGTTCACAAGATCACTACATACTTCATTATTATACTTGTAAAATGTAACTGTTTCATATATTAATATAATATTTGGGACAGTTTATGTATAAATACAGGAGTTGAAATGAAATATCTTGATTTGAAGGGCACACTTTATTTTCTCTAATTTAAAGCATTTTCCAGAAATTCATAATTAACTGAAGTGAATGTGCCCCAATGAAACTCATAAAATAGA